GGCACATAACAACAACAACATAGGCTATCTTTGATCATAAGAATCCACTAGTGTCTTTGAGGATGAATTTTAAATGAAGATGACTGATCTGGGGTACTTTCTAGCTCAAAAACCAAGGGCCACAGTGGTGTTCTTTAAACCTTGCTCCCTGGACTCTCCTCAGGGCCCCGATAGCTGCTCTACACACACCTGTTTTACAGGTTGTATTGTCTCATGAAACTTTGTTCTGCTGTTTAAAAAGCTGAACAACACAACCCGTTTGAAAATTCGTTGCCACCGCACTGAGTTCAAATCCCTCTGCAGGGCCTTCAAGGCCCTTGGGAGCATGCTCTCCCCAACCAGCGGCCCTCTCCAGCATCGTTTCTCACAATCTTCTCTTCTCTCTGGGTTCTGGAAACCTTGTACTTCCTTCAGTTCTCTGAGAACATCTTCTCATTGCCTCTCCACAACTAATCCTTCAGGTCTCAACTTAGATGAAGCCTTCCCTGGTTCCCCAAGTCGGAGCTACTTATGACTCCCATCCCCACCCACCGCTACCCCCCTCCAGGCTCCTACAGTCCCTGAGCTTCCACTGAGCACCACATCCTCCTCCCATGGGCAGAAGGGTTCACTCTACTCTGAGACTCATCTTACAGCATAGTGCAGGCAGTGGCATTAGGAGTTTTGGTGATAGGGTGGCACTCCCTTCGCCTCCCTACCATTTTCTCTCCCCTCATCAGCCATTAACCTCAAGGTCAGCGGTACGAAACCATCAACCGTTCCACGGAAGAAAGATGAGGCTTTCTGCTCCCATGAAGATTTATAGCCTCAGAAACCCTGTACAGGGTCGTTATGAGTCGGAACGGATTCCATGGCACACAACCACCAAACTCACTGCCATGAGTTGATTCCAACTTGTTGTTGTTGTTAAGTGCCGTCGAGTGGGTTCTGACTCATAGTGACCCTGTATAGGGCTTCCAAGGGGCAACTGGTGAGCTTGAGTCTGTCTGCTCTTCCTACAAAGCAGACCCCAGGTCCACCTTTCTCTCTTCCATCATTGTCACAGGCTGTGGCACCATCACCATCCTGGGCTTCCATCATAGCACCAGCTGTCCCAGTTTGTTTCCCTACTTCCACTCTGACCCTTACAATCTGTTCTATACATAGCAGCTAGAGCAATATTTTAAAATCATAATCAGATTATAATTCTCTGCCTAAAAACCTCCATTTCTTCCATCTTTATTAAAATAACAGCCAGGCTGTCCCCAGTCTCCTCTGACTGCATCTACTATGTCCCTCACCAAGGTCCAGCCTTCCTGCTGTTCCTCAAGCAGCACGGGCATCCTGACCTCAGGGCCTTTCCCCTTGCTCCCCTCTGCCTGGAATGCTTGTCCTCAGATCTTCAGACATTTGATCATTTTCCTAGCCTTTCTCCCTACCTGACAATCTTTTTCTTAAGCCATAGAACAGGGCCCTATTACGCAGGTGCTCACTGAAGATGTATAGAATGAGTGGTCAACTGGAGGTAGACTCTTGACTAAATAGGTGGAAGGTGAGAACAAAAATGGACCAGGGTGTTTAGTTCTGAGCCCAGAGGTAGAAGTCACCCAATGGCGCCCTTATTTCCTCTCCGCTGCCTACCAAACCTCACTGGACACCAGCCCCAAAGCAAGCATGTCCTGAAGGGGCTATCCCTGAAGCACACAGGAACCGTGCCCTGGCATCTGATGGAATGGGCCCTACAGTAGTGCCTAAGACACAGTGTGCAGCATATAAATCCCACCCTCTTTCCACTACACCAGCCCAAGATCTCCTTCCAAACCAGGCTCTGCCAGTGATTCCCCCATCAATACACATGCTCTGGGAAGCTTCCTCTCTCTCCTCTCAGCCCTGATCAACTTACTGGCAGAGCAGGACTCTGGGAGAGCTGATGTGGATGTTCACACGGAGCAGTGAATCACTAAGGGCAAGTCCCATTCTGGAGATACATGCATCCCACAGGGGAATTAGACCTTAACCCAAAGGAATGTGGCTGTGATGGCAGAATTTCAGGCCGCTTGGAATGGGGGGGGGGGGGGTCCCTCACATCTTACCACCCATGAAGAAGGCTAGCTTCAAAGGGTGGGTAGCCCCTCCTTCCTTCCGCCAGAGAGATGGCAGGCTGTCTGGGGCTGTGGGATGCGAAGCCCCAGGCCCAGACCTGGGTCAAATCGGAAGTCAGGGCCAGACCTGGCATCAAATCCTGATCTACCCTTCACTAGCTGTGTGTTCCTGGGCAAGTCTCTGCCTTTCGACCTTAAGTTGCCCATCTGTCAAATGGGAACAGCGAACTCGCCCCTTTTCCCGAAAGATCCCCTGAGACAGGAGCCTTAGAGACTGTCGGGGTTGTGAGCGTGTCAACCTCTATGGGAGTGGGTGGGAAGTGTTGGCGGGTAAGAGAGGGGTTTCTGATGCTCCCCAAGGCGGCCGCAGTCCAGCTCCGCGCTCATGTATGCTGGAAGGGCGCCGGGCGTCGGTTCCCCGAAGGGGTCGGCCAGCCTCACCCATTGGGCGGCTCCTACCTGGCTCAGCGCTGCCGCCGCTCCTCTCCCCCGCGGTCCCGGAACATTTTGCGCAAACCTGTCCCCTGGTCCCACCCCGTGCCAGACCCTGAGGTCACAGCCGGAGGAGGCGCACTGCCACTCCGCTGCCCCAGGGAGCGGGACCCGCGAGGGGGCGGCCGCGGCTCCAGTTTAAATGCCGCTCCCGCCGACCCGCCCCACCACGCCCCCCACCTCGACGAGGCCGCGGGGTCCTAGCGCCCGTCGTGCGCCCCGCTCGACTGGGCTTATCCGGAACTGGCACGTGGGAGTGAAACATCTTTTTTACGCTGGAAGCCCGGCTGGGAAAGGGCAGAGGGGCGGAATGAACGGGCTGGGGAGAGGGTAGGAAAGGAAGCGCTGTCGGAGCGAGCCGGACCCCCGGGTCGCTGCACGTGCAGTTCTCGGCCCCGCGGGGTCCGGAGGAGCGGGTGACTCTAGGAGCCGCAGGTCCACAGAGGAAATCCGGCCTGGCCCCGATTTCCCCGCTGCCGGCGCCACAGCACTTAAAGGGGTGGGGTGGGGTGGGGGCAACAGAAGAGGTGGTGGCGTGGCTGAATGCGGAAGGAAATGACCCTTCATTGGCCCTGGGCGCCCATGGAGGGGGTTCCCCGCACCGCACCGAGGCCATCCCGGCCGATTCCAGGCAGGTCACTTCCCCTCTCTGTACAGCTGTAGTATCCAGATGCTCCCTCCTCTGTCATTTCCCAGGCCTCTAAATTACCCAGTAAAACAGTACCATCCAAGTCCCCAGTTTTCGGATGGAAAATTTGAGGCAAGAGGTGACAGCAGTGAGTACACCAGTAAGTAAAAACCAAGTCTCAGGGACTTTTAAGGTCTCCATTTAGAGTGGAAGAAGCTGAACTTCAGAAAGGTTCAATGACATAGTCAAAGTCATACCGCCTAGAAGAGATGTGAATCCAGTTTCCACAAAGTTGAGTCCTGGCCAGTTTGGTTGCCTTTCCCAGGCTTCGACTTGTCTGGGTGTAATTTGTTTGTTTTTTAAGTGCTATACTGCCTTTTTCAGAGTCCAGGTGAGGCGACGTGGAGAACTGAAAGGTCGGTGGTTCAAGCTCACCAGCTGCTCCTCAGAAACCCTATACGGGTCGCTATGGGTTGGAACCGACTCAACGGCACTTAACGACAACAACTAAATTTTCCATCAGAAGTTGAAGCAGCTCTTTACCAAAGCCATCCCCTCCTCTGAATGCCTTGACTACAAGTTTCCTGCCCAGCTAGCTCTGAATTCGAAGATGCGGGTACCTAGAGGAAGGGGCGGGGCCGGGACTGGAGGAATCTCACTGTCCTCCAGACGCTAGTTCTCATCTACAATCTTCTCCCATCAACACTAACAGTCGGGAGTCCCCATTTTCCAGGTGGGAAAGTTCCCTGAAGTCTCCATAACCCATTGTTGTGGGGTCAATTTCCGCTTAGGGAGACAGAGTAGAACTCCCCACAAGTTTTCCGTTCTGTAATCTTAAGGGACGCAGACTACAGCATCTTTTTCCCATGCTGTGCTGGTGGGTTTGAATGCCGACTTTTGGTTAGCAGCTGAGCACTTAACCACTGCATCACCAGGACTCCTTGAAGTCTGGATGACCGCTACCTTTCCCTCCTTACATCTGATCTGCTGTGGAGACCGACCTGGGTAGATGGGGATGGCCTAGAAAGGACAAGAGATGATAGCAGGTGACCCAGAGCCTGACCTACCCTTAGAACCAGAGAGCAAGGAGGCTTCCCAAAGGAGAGGGCCTAAGCTATGCAGATGGGATGGGAAGGAGGTTGTTGTTGAGGTACCCGGCAGGAGCTGGGAAAGCCATCCAAACCTGCCTCTTCTCTCCTAGCCACAGGAAGTGGCAGATCAGCTCCCTGGGATCAACCCAGCTGGCCTAACCCAACCTTCTTGCTGAGCCCTAGTTCCATCTGGTCAAATGGAACCTCAGTTTCTCTGTCCTTCAAGTGGAAAGGACAATCACTACTTTTTAGGGTTTGTGCCAGAACCCTAAGTGTAACGGGGTAAGTCTGGGGTCTGCACCTGTGTCCTTATTCAAGGGGACAGATGTCCAGGAAAGCGCTTTGCCCCAACCCTGCAGCTTAGGCAGAGCATGAAAAAGTCGGATTCAGGCAGTCCCAGGCTCGCCTGCCCCACCCCACTCAAGGCCCAGGCCAGCTTAGTGCCACCTCACCCTTTCCTTCCTGGAGCAGTCGCCAAGCAGAAACAACTGGCCCAGAACTTTCGCTGAGGCAGGGCAGGACTGGAGTTGTATCAGGCTGGAGGTGAACGGACTATACCCCTCCCCCTGAAAAACAGAGTGTGGTTGTGGTTACTTCATTCATGGGGTTCCACCTCACTCAGTGCCCACATGGGACTCCCCAGGAGTTGGAGATGGGTAGGCAACCAAGCATGCCCACCCAGTACACATGCCTCTTGGGACTAGGGGCCCTAAAAACTGAGAACCCCACATGCTCATAAAATAACCCCTTCTTTAATCACTTCTTCAGCAGTCTTGTTGCTGTGTAAATTTTGGCAGGTTGCTTGACCTTTCTGACCTCAATTTTCTCATCTGCAAAGTGAAAATTATAATAATGATACCCTGGCTTGCTGTGAAGATAAATGCAACACTATGTTTAAAGTACCCGGTCAGAAACCTGGCCCATGGTTACTTGCTCAGTAACCACAGTCTTCCTTCTTGGGGGTTCCTGGTTAGGTGGTGAACAAAAAGGTCCAGTGCCTGCCTTTGTGGAGCTCTTAGAGCAGATGGGAGGTGGATGAGCACACAGAGGGTGATTAACTTCTAGGGGTCTCTTAGGCCAAGTCCAGTAGACAGCTTGATTCTGCAATTCTGCAAGAGGAAAGGGTAAGTGGGAATGAGCAGGGTTGGATTTACTTGGTAACCCATATGAAGGGTGATACTCTTTTAAAGGCCAAGTTTCCACCCAATGTTGCTCACTTGTACACTTCCAGGAATGGGGAGTTCTTCTGGACAGCCCATCCCCAGACAGTTCAGACTTCTTTGGTATCTTTGCCCAAATGCATCCTTTCTATGACTGAAGACAGGAAGTACGTATCTTCCTGTGTCACCATCCAGAGATGTGAAAACCCTCTCAGACACCAAGTCACTGGCCAGAGCCAGGTCTCAGTCTCCCTGGCAGAGTTTCAGCTCAGGCCACCATGAAGCCAAGAGACCTACAGAGCAGAAAATGGCTCAGGAAGGCAATGTTGGGCATGTCCTATGTGCCTTTGGACAAATCACTAAACCTCTCTGAGCCTTGCTGTCCTCATCTTGCTGTAGATCTCAAGTCAGAAGAATTATGGTGCCCTGGATCTCCAATTTCGTTTCTCTTGCTCTTTGCTGAAACTCACTGTGGGCCAGTTCTTTATCTTATGCAGTAGATCAGGCAAAGACAACCTTCTGGTTAGATTTCTTTAGTCAAAGTTATAACAAAGAAATTGAGGCACAGAGAGCTTAAGTCACTGGACCATCCCACACAATTTTGGGGCTAGGAACTGAACTCAAGTCTCCTGCCTCCTGTCCAGATCTTGGTGCAAGCTGTTCTGACACCTACCCCTGTTCAATACACATGTGGGCCCCTGGGAGGCAGGAAGTTCCCTCATTAGCCCCTATGGGGGCCCTACCTTCTGGAGCAGAACCTTGAGTTCCCCATTTCTTCCCTTGACTCTCGAGAGTAACTGGGCTCAGACTCTATCAGCTATGCGCTACCTGCTGGATGGACAATTGGAGAAGGGGAAGAAACGTGACTGGTGTCAGCAGTCTGGTGTTTGTGAGCCAAAAAAGCCATGAGATTCTTGGGAAACAAGTGTTTATAGGTACCCTAGCTGGCCTGTTTAATGGGAACAAGGGCTTGCAGGACCAGACCTGGTGTGATGTATTTGACTTGAGTTATTTCCTTCCTCCTCATAACTACCCAACGAGGGGAGGACTGTCACTGCCCCCCTTTTATGGAAGAGGGATGAAGCTCAGAGGAATTCTGTGACTTGCATATAGTTACACAGCTAACAAAACAGAGCAGTCATTCTCATCTTAGTCCGAAGTCCCCAAGGCCCTCATGTGTGGCCAGAGATTTGCCTAGCCTGCTTTCTCTTCTAAGCGGGTGTGAGTTACCCCTCGCTATGATGGAGAAGCAGTGCTGCTAAGGACCCCTCTGCTGACACACAGGAGACTCCTGGCTCTGGTCCTGGTCAGTGAGAGCAGGGGCTGAGGGGTCTTGAAGTGCTTGGAGGCTCCAAGGGAGAAGCAGCAGTGGGGGGTGGGGTGGGATGTTAGATGAGAAAATTCAAGGCTGGGTAAACCAGGCAGGGAAGGATCAGAAAGCATTTCCACAATTTGAGTGTGCTGAGCCTCGGACCATGAAACCACAGCCCTCTGCACAGTGATCGGCTGCTGGGAAACAACATTCTTTTCCCCTGTTTTAACTATTTGTCAGTAAACCCAATGCACCATTTTCTTGATGATCTGGGGTTATCAGTAAGGACTTTGGTTAAGATCCATGCTGCAATAAAGACATAATCTCCAACTTTATGTCAACAAAGCCAAGCCCAAAGAGAGACAGCCGCAAATGTCAGTGTCCCTGCAAACCAAATCCACTGCCAGCAAGTCAATCGGGACTCATAGTGACCCTGTAGGACAGAAGATTACTGTCCCTTAGAATTTCCAAGTTTCCAAGGCTGTAGAGTTTTACAAAAGCAGATTGCCTCATCTTCCTCCTTCAAGGGGCTGCTGGGTTCAAACCACTGACCTCTAGGTTATCAGCCAAGCACTTCACTACTGCATCCCCAGTCTTCTGTATTGAGCATTAACCAGAGCAGAGCACCCAGGACCGAGTAAGCGAGGTTGCACACAAGGACCATGAGTCATTCTCCCCTCTCAGTCTGTTTCCTCATCTGTAAAATGGTGACAGCCATTCTGTCAGCCCCAAGTTGCTGAGGGCATGTGATGAGACGATGGAAAGCCAAGAAGAGTGGTGGTGATTATGTGTTGTGGAGTCGGTTCCTACTCATAGTGCCCCTGTACAGGGTTTCCAAGGCTGTAAATCTTTACGGGAGCAGAAAGCCTCATCTTTCTCCCGTGGAACAGCTGGTAGTTTCAAACTGCTGACCCTGAGGTTGGCTGCCCGATTCGTAACTATGCTACCAGAGGGGTGGCTTAATGTGACTATTGTTGTCGTCTTCCTCACTTGAAAGTCAGTGGTTCTGTGGTTGACAGAGAGAGCTGTTGAGCACTGGGGGACCCATTGATGGAAGTTATGACTTGTGAGTCCTGGGTGACGCAGCTGAGGAGCAGGAGGAGGTGGAGTCAAGGACACCTAAGAGCTGCAGGCTGAGTGGACTTGGGGCAGAGGTGGGCCTGGGCAGAGATAGGCACCAGGGTCTTAGCTTCCATGAATGGAAGGGCTGTGGCCCAGTCAGGATACCCCATGGTGAGTGTACCCTGGCTCCTGATAGGGATTCCTTGAAAGTTCCTTTCTAACTCCAGGACCCACATTCTGGGTTCCTCATTGCACTGAGCTCCTAGCAGGCCTTGAAGGCCTAGAAGTGGTCAGGTCCCCAGGCCAGGCAGGGCTTTCAGAAACTGGCTTCTTATATCCCAGGTAATCCTTTCTTCTGGAAGCTTCAAAGAATCCTGCCAGCCTCTCCTACTTCCAATCCAAGAATGCCAGCAAAGTTGAAGTCCCCAGAAGGTAAGCACATGGCCTGAGGTCACCCAGCAGGCTGATAATGTGATTCCCCTCACCTAACGCTGCTTTTTATCTTTCTGAGAAATGCCTCAGGAGATACATCACCTCCTCTGAGATCACCTCCTCTGGGGTTAATTCCTGTTGTTCTAAAACTTTAGCAATCATCAGAATCCCTGGAGGCTTCTTAAAACAGATTGCTGGCCTTGGAATCTGCATCTTGTGCTAACTGCCAGGTGGGACTGATGCTGCCCGTTGGCAGACCACCCTTTGAGAAGTGCTGGTCCAGAGCCTAACAGACCTCACTGGAGGACAGTGCTGCCTTTGTGATGGTGTAGCAGAAAGCTGGGCTCTAGGGAGGCTAGTTCAAGGCCCAGCTCTGGCTCGTGTACTTGTGTAGTCTTCATCTCTCTGAGTCGCCGTTGCTTCAGCTATGAAATGGAGATGACAGCGGCCCCTGCCTCACTGAGTTGTAGACATGAAGACATTACAGAGAAAGGTTATGGTTACACTGTTATTCCTGTTTCTTACCATGAGTGCAATTTGGTGGCCAAGGTGAGGCATCTCTGTGCCTTCAAGTTAGAATGGGACCAAATGGGCCAGGTAGTGTTCCTAATGCAGCTCTAAACAGTGTGCCCTTCCAATACCTAATGAGGTAGATATTATTATATTATTATTACTATTACCATTCTACAGATAAGAACAGGTGGGGAGAGATGAGAAAACCCAGAGAGGTTAAGTAATTACTTCAGCTTGCACAGCTAGTATGGATGAATCCAAACAGTGGAGTTCCAGTACCTTCCTCCTTAATATTCTGTTGTCTTGTCATTCAATCGAGCATTCATCATCCTAAAGAGCAAATCATCTAAAAACTCTAAAGTTGCCAATGCCAAGCATTGTGTGTGTCGTTAGGTGCCATTGTGCCTGTTTTTGACTTGTAGTGACACCATGTGATAGAGAAGAACTGGAGGCAGATCATCACAAGTTCTTTCTCCTGAGGAGATGCCCGGTGGGTTCAAACAATCAGCCTCTCAATTAACAGTCTTGCACTTAATTAATCGGTTCCCTGTGCTGTATGTAGAGTTGCATTTTCTGGTGAGAAGGGGTCTGAAGGAGGACAGGGTGGAGGAAGAGAAGCAGCCGAGGCTTCAGAGAGGGACTGGTCTCGGGTGCCATCTTCACTTATGTCACTCACTGCTGTGTGACTTTGGGCTCACGGCCTCGCCTCTCTGAGCCAGAGCAATGATGGACAACTAGAAATGCATAAAGAGTTCTCCCCTAGTTACTGGCACGGCTTGTGATTCTTGGAGGCGGTATCTACATTTTCATGGCTGCAACTTTATCTTCTTCAGGAGGGGTGAAGTGGTTTGTGACGCTTTCCCTGGCTCTGCTTGGCGGAAGTGAGAAGAGGGTTGCCAAAAATATAGCTGCGGAGTGAGGCCTGGGTGAAAGTAGGCACTGCTCCCATTCTGCAGGAAGGTAGGTTGAAGGCCCCAAAGGACTGGCAAGGAGGCAAACGTAACTAACTCCCTGTGGGGTAGGTCCTCTGATGGACAGACCACTGTAGCCCTGTAACAGTGGGCAATAGCTGAGTGAGTCTCCAGAGAGACAGAAACTAGCCCAAGGTCACACAGTGAACTTGAAGTGGGTTTCTGTTCCTTCCTGCAGTGTTGGGCTGTCACCTAATGTGAAGCTCTTGTTTCTTGACATAACCTCCATCGAGGTCTATACACTTTTGAAGGCCGTGTTTTCATCTCTCTAGGGAGTCCTGGTGTGGCGCTGCGGGTTAATGCGCTGGACTGCAAAGTTGTTTTGAATTGCAAGATCGGCGGTTCAAGCTCACCAGCCACTCTTCCGAAACCCTATACAGACTCGCTATGGATTGGAACCGACTCAACAGTACTTAACAATATCAACAACAACCCTTCCGAACGATAGTTTTGGCTTTTTCAATACACTCAAATCATGTTCCTTTGAAATGTTCTTTGGGCTTGGAGAGAAAAAAAGTATGAAGGGGTAAGATCAAGGCTGAAGGGTTAATGGGGTAAGGTTTTCCAATTAAATTCTCATAAGACAACCCTTGCTGCCCTCGAAGAATGAGCAGGTGCATTACGATGGAAAAAAAATGTTTCTGAATTTCTCAGAAGCAGACCACACACAAGCCAAGGAGCATCTACTAAGGCTGGTGTCCTTATATATAATATAAATATATATATATAAAAGGGGAGAGGGCATAGTTTGGCCTAAATAAGTCAGACAGTGTGCCATGATCTCTCAGGGATCCCTTGATTGGTCCCGATGTGTGAACTCAGGCCTCTAGCACACCAGGACTGGCAGCTCAGAAGTAGACTATTTGGCTCTGACCACTGACACACTATGGTCTCTTCTGGATTATGACTTCTGCTTGCTTGCCTGTCTTCTCTTTGTGGACTGGTGGGTAGAAGACTTGGGTGTGAGACATGAACCCAACACCCAGAACGCAGCCCACCCCTACCTGCATCAGTGCCTCAGGGCCCTCTAGCAGTAGGGTTGGCCTTTCTCCCTGCAGATGATAGGTCCCACCTTCCCCTCCTCTGGAACCCTCACACAGTCTTCTCTTCATAGCTCTCTCATCAACGTGGACACTACACAATTCCACAAGTCCTTCTCCCCTCTTCCCTCCCACTATTGCCTCACCCTTTCTTCTTCCCATAGCACTGTCTTCTCTTTCTGTCTGTTTCCCTCTGTTGTTTCAGGCCCACATTCCACCCAGGGCATCAGTCACCCCAAGTCCCTAACTGCTGCAGACACCATTCCACGCTTAGCCTCTTGCCTAGTCCCTCTTCCTCATGTCTCCCTCTTCCCTTGGCCTTGGGGAACCCTCTCCAGATTCTCTTTTCACCTCACCAGCATCTCCTTCCAGATTTTATTTTTGCTGGCTCCTCCTCTTCTATTTGATCTTTCGAGGTGGAAGCTCCCAGATCTCCCTCCCCTCTGGGTCCTTGACTTTTTTCTTTCCTCCCGGCCTCCCAGGAGAGCTTCCTGCCCAGGGATCTCCCTTTCCTGTCCCTCCATCTAGCCTCCACGTGGCAGCCAGATGGACTCTCTCAAAACAGAGATTTGAGCAGCTCACTCCCCTGCTTACAACTCTTTGAAGGTCCTGGGGGGTAAAGCACACACCACACTTCCCACTTTCCTGTCTCTTACTATTCAGGGGGCCAGCTTCCATATCACACATCCACATACATCACAGTCATCTCCTCTCTCCTTTCCTGCTCTTTCCCAACCATGCTCGGTCAGCTCTTCCTTTCTCTCCAGCTCCAAAGCCCGTCCCTTTGAGTTGGAAGCTTACAAGTGGGGCATTTGCAATGAGGACCTCTCTCCCTGTCTCCCTCTTCCTACCAGTCACTGTCTCTCTTTCTTCACCTCATTTAGAGTTGCCAAAGGTAAGAGCTATAGAATCTAGCTTATGGGACCAAAAAGAAGCTGAGCCCATGAGCCCACTGACTGAGGAGGCTCTTCATGTCTATGCTGCTGAAGACCAGAAGGCCAAGAGAGGGGGGACTGTGGTGCAGGAATGAGAACACCCTCCCCCACTGCCCATGAGTGTCCTTGTGGTGCCCTGGTTAAGCACTGGGCTGCTAACTGAGAAATGGGTGATTCGAAGCCACTCAGAAGCTTCCTGGGAGAAAGACCTGGTGATCGGCTCCTGTCAATACTAAAACCAAACACCAAATCCATTGCCACTGAGTCATTTCCAACTCTGTGACCTGAGTAGAGCTGTCCTCATAGGGCTTTCCAGGCTATAATCATGACAGAAGCACACTACCTCATCTTTCTCCGAGCACAGAACCACTGGTGGGTTGAAACAGCTGAACTTTGGGTTAGCAGCTAAGCACTGAACCAATGTGCCACCAGGGCTACAGCTTAGAAACCCTTTGGGGCAGTTCTACTCTATCCCTGGGTTTGCTGTGAGTCAAAATGGATTTGATGGCACCTAAGAGCAGGTGCCTTGAAGACAGGTTGGAAAGGCCGGACTCCGCCCTTTAAATGGCTCCCCAGGAGCAATAGGCTTCTTTGTTCTTTTCAGTCTCCCACTCTCCACTTACACTGTAGCCCCCACCTTGATCTGTGTCCACACCATACTCTGGCCTCTGCCACCTGGTCCTTGGCCTTGGCTCACCTGGACCCTGGCCTCATCCTCCTGCTCACTCCATTTCCATTGGCTGGGCTCCACCCTACAGCTGGTGACCGAGGCTGTCACTGTGTCTATGTCATCTTCCCCCTTGTAGTGTGTGACTGGAGGCCTATGAGGTAGCCAGGGTAGTAGGTATAGGGGTCAGGTGGAGGTATGGTGCTTTAGAGTCTAGTTCCACTTCTGCCACTGAATGCCAGGTGACCTGGGACTGAGTCTCAGTAACTGCATCTGTAACATGGGAGAATCATTTTTAGTTTGCATGACTGTAGTAAGGATGGTTGTTGTTAGGTGCCGCCCAGTTGGCTACAACTCATAGTGACTCTCTGCACAACAGAACAAAAGAAACACTGCTGGGTCCTGTGCCATCGTCACAATAGCTGTCACACTTGAACCCATAGCTGCTGTCACAGGACCAATCCAGCTCATTGGGGGGCTTCCTCTTTACCAAGCATAATGTCTGGTTCCTCCTGATAACATATCTGAACTATGAGAGGTGAAGTCTCATCATCCTTACTTCCAAGGAACATTCTGGCTCTACTCCTTCCAACACAAATTTGTTTGATCTTCTAACAGTCCATAGTACTTTCAATATTCCCCCCCAACACCATAACTCAAATGCATCAATTCTTCCATGTCACTTCCTTATTCACTGTCAACTTTCACATGCATATGAGACTATTGAAAATACCATGACTTGGGTCAGGTACACATTAGTCCTCAAACTCAGATCTTTGCTCTTGAACACTTTAAAGAGGTCTTGTGCAGCAGATTTGCCTAAAGCAATACATTATTTGATTTCTTGATTGCTGCTTCCATGAGTGTTAATTGTAGAGCCAAGCAAAATGAAGTCTTTGACAACTTCAGTCTTTTCTCCATTTATCATGATGTTATTTTTGTTTTCTTTACATTGAAATGCAATCCATACTAAATGCTGTGGCCTTTGATGTTCATCAGTAAGTATTTCCAATCTTCCTTGTTTTCAGCAAGCAATGTTGTATCAACTGAATATTGCAGGTTGTTAATGAGTCTTCCTCCGATCCTGATGCCATGTTCTTTTTCACATAATCCAAGTTTCTCAGATTTGCTAAGGATACAGATTGAATTTGTATGGTGAAAAAATACAACCTAGGCACTCATGTTTCCTGATTTTAAGCCAATATCCCCTTGTTCTGTTAGAACAACTGCCTCTTGGTCTATGTACAGGAATACACATTCTTTGCAATGTTATCCATAGCTTGTTATGATCCACACAATCGAAAGCTTTTGCATAGTCTATGAAGCACAAGTAAACATGGTAGTAAGATTTAAATTGAAGATATTTCTATGTATTTCTTTATTTCTATGCAGATATTTCCTTCACTATTCAGTGGAATAAATATCTTCTGTAGCCGGCTGAGAGCCTGGGAAAGTTTGAGTCAGTTGTTAGAAGGATCCTGGGTCTTTTATCAAGCTTGTAGCTGCTTTGGGGTTGTTGTTAGGTGCCATCAAGTCAGTACCGACCCATAGCGACCTTATGCATAGCAGAACAAAACACTGCCCAATCCTGGGCCAGCCTCACTATTGAGTCCACGCTTGAGTCCACTTGGCCAATCCATCTTGTTGGAGGTCTTCCTCTTTTTCTCTGACCCTCCACCTTACCAAACATGATATCCTTCTCCAGTATGAGAGATGAAATTTGGCCATGTTGGCCTCCAAGGAGCACTCTGGCTGCACTTCTTTCAAAATGGATCTATTGGTTCTTTTGATAGCCTATGGCACTTTCAATATTCTCCTCCAACACCATAACTCAAAAGCATCAATTCTTCTATGGTCTTCCTTATTCATTGTCCAGCTTTCGCATGCATATGAGATTATTGAAAATACCATGGCTTGGATCAGGTGCACCTTAGTCCTCAAGCTGACATCTTTGCCCCTCAACGCTTGAAAAAGGTCTTCTGCAGCAGATTTGCCCAATGCAATACATTGTTTGATTTCTTGACTGCTGCTTCTGGGAGTATTGATAGGTGATCCAAGAAGAAAGAAGTCCTTGACAACTTCAATTTTTTTCTCCATTGATAAGAATTTTGTTTATTGGTCCAGTGGTGAGGATTTTTGTTTTCTTTACATTGAGATGTAATCCATACCAAAGGCTGTGCTCTTTGATCTTCATCAGTAAATGTTTTAAGTCCTCTTCACTTTCAGTAAGCAAGGTTGTATCATCTGCATATCGCAGGTTATTAATGAGTCTTCCTCCAATCCTGATGCCACACTTTTATTCATGTAACCCAGCTTCTCAGATTATTTGCTCAGCATATAGGTTGAATAAGTATGGTGAAAGAATACAACTTTGTCATACACCTTTCTTAATTTTAAACCATTCAGTGTTCCCATGTTCTGTTTGAACAACTGCTTCTTGGTCCAGGTACAGATTCCTCATGAGTACAATTAAATGTTCTGGAATACTCATATTTCACAGTATTGTCCATAGCTTGTCATGATCCACACAATCAAAAACCTTTGAGTAGTCAATAAAGCACAGGTAAACAAACATCTTTCTAATATTCTCTGCTTTCAACCAAGATCCATCGGATCTCAGCAATGATATCCCTTATTCCATGGCATCTTCTGAACCCAGCTTGAACCTCTGAAAGTTCTCTGTCAATGTATACTTGCAGTCGTTTCTGTATTACCTTGAGCAAAACTTTACTCACATGGGATATCAAAGAGATTGTCCAATGATTTCTGCATTCTGTTGGGTCACCTCTCTTTGGAATGGGCACAAATACGGATCTCTTCCAATCAATTGGCCAGATAAGTTGTCTTCCAAATTTCTTGACAGAGATGAGTGAGTGCCTCCTGTGCAGCCTCACTTTCTTGAAAGATTTCAATTTTTATTCCATCAATTCCTGGTGCCTTGGTCTTTGCCAGTTCCTTCAATGCACCTTGGACTTCCTCATTCCGTATCATTGGCTCTAGATCATATGCTACTTCTTGAAACGGTTGAACAGTAACCATTTCCTTTTGGTACAATGACTCTGTATTCCTTCCATCTTCTCTTGATGCTTTCTGCATCATTCAATAATTCGCCTAGAGAATCTTTCAATAATGAAAGTCGAGGCTTGAATTTTTTCTTCAGTTCCCCCAGCTTGAGAAATGCTGAGTGTGTTCTTCCGTTTTGGTTTTCTGATTCCAGATCTTTGTACATTTTGTTGTAATATTTGGCTTTATCTTCTCAAGCTGATCTTTGAAATATTCTGTTTAGCTCTTGTACCTCCTTATTTCTTCCATTTGCTTTAGCATCTCTACACTTGAGAGCAAGTTTCAGTGTCTCTTCTGACATCCATTTTGACCTTTTCCTTCTTTCTTGTCTTCTTAATGACTTTTTGCTTTTTTCATGTATGATGTTCTTGATATCATCCCACAACTCTTCTGGTCTTTGGTCTTTAGTGTTTAATGTATCAAATCTGTTCTTCAGATGATCTCTAAATTCAGGTGGGATATATTCAAGGTCATATTTTGGCTCTCATAGGTTTGTTTTCATTTTCTTCAGCTTCAGTTTGAATTTGCATATGAGTAATTGATGGTCTGTTCCACAGTCTGCCCCTGGCCTTGTTTTGACTGATGATATGGAGCTTTTCCATCATCTCTTTCCATAGATATAGTCAATTTGATTTCTATGTATTCTGTCTGGTGAGGTCCATGTTTATTGTTTTTTTTTATGCTGTTTGAAGAAGGTATTTGAAATGAACAAATCATTGGTTTTGCAGAATTCTATCATGCATTCTCCAGCATCATTTCTATCACCAAGGCCATATTTTCCAACTACTGATTCTTCCTCTTTTCTCCCAACCTTTGCATTCCAATCACCAGTAATGATCAATACATCTTGATTGCATATTTGATTAATTTCAGATTGAAGAAGTTGGTAGAATTCTTCTATTTCATCCTCACTGGCTTTAGTGGTTGGTTCATAAATTTGAATAATAGTGGTATTAACTTGGCTTCCCTGTAGGTGCATCGATATTATCCTATCACAGACAGCGTTGCATAAACATTAATATCTTAAGCATTAGTGAGCTGAAATGGACTGGTATTGGCCATTTTTAATCTGATGACCACATGGTTTACTATGCCAGAAATGACAAATTGAAAAGGAATGGTGCTGCATTCAGTGTCAAAAAGAACATATCCAGATCAGTCATGAGGTACAACGCTGTCTGTTATCGATGATGCTGGGCTACATGATGTGTGATTTAAACAGTTATCGATGATGCTGAGCTACATGATGTGTGACTTTAACAGTTATCGATGACGCTGAGCTACATGATGTGTGATTTAAACAGTTATCGATGACGCTGAGCTACATGATGTGTGATTTAAACAGTTATCGATGACGCTGGGCTACATGATGTGTGATTTAAACAGTTATCGATGACGCTGGGCTACATGATGTG